TTTTTTTTTTTTTTGCTTTCTCACTGCTTTAAAAATACCAACCAACTGTAGATGCTCCAGAAACGGTGCAAGGGGGGAAAGCCTCTGAAACCAGGAATGCTGGTGTCTTTCCTCAGCAACGGGTTTATTTTTATCTCGAGGACTGACCTTGTAAATCAGATAACAGATTGCGTCTTCCTCTCCATGTTGGCTGCTTGTCTGCGTAGCCAGATTCGTGTTCCTTTGTCGGGAGGGAGGCAGCTTCTCATCTCTGGCTGATTCAGGCATGCGCGCGCACACACACACACACACACACACACACAGCCCCCTTGACATATGCCCCAAAGGCGTCATTTACAGCCTCCTCGATTTCCCCAATGACAAGGTATTCTGGGCTCTTCTCTTAAAAGTATAAGGCCCTGCTGTTTGTGTTTTGTGTACCAAGATGTCTGTCTCTACTCCCACGCCCCCCCCCACACACACAGTTTTTTTCCCTTTAATGACTTCATCACCTGTTATTTTCATCATATGGCCGTCTTTTAAAGTACGTTCTAGAACAAGGAGGATAACAGAAGGCTGATGTAGGTTGACCGGCTGATTGTCTCGTTTGCAAGTGGTCTGAGCTGCCTCTCTGTCCACGGAAGCTCTCCTCTGCCTGGCGGGCGGTGGGTGGGGGGGTACAGGTGGCCCCACTGTGTGAAAAGTTGATCCTGCCTGTGAAACCTTTTTGCCCCCGAAATGTCATACAGCCAAGAGGTGATTGCTGTAAGTTTTTATATGGAGAAAATTCCTGAGGTTTCCTAGACCTGGCAAATAACGCAAAACCTAAGCTAACGCTAAGATCCGGTAAAAGTGGGCAGACGCCTGTGCTCCTGTGGCTGCTGACTCGGGAGGGACTCGGTGGCAGGGAGTTGAGCTCCTATCAAGTAGAGATGCTGTGCCATGAGGGCACCACAGGGCTGAGACGTGGAGGTGGACGCAGCAGGGGTGGCAGTCCTGGCCGCTGGCTAGCTCTGACTCAGGAAGGAGCGGGCTTGAAAGACCAGGGTTCGGATCCCGCCAGAGGGTGGCTTGATAGGAACTCTGATAGCGCACTCCTCGAAGGGTTTCCACACGGGGCATGTGATTGGTGCAGCCAGGATGCCCAGTCAGGGTGGGGGAGTTAGAGAGGAGGAGCTCAGTCCCGCTGTTTTGGGAAATGTGCGTCTAGCGCTGGAGGAGCAGCACTGAACGTGGCTCTCCTGCCACGCAGCGGTCAAGTGTTGCTGCCCGTCCCGGTGTCCCCCCTGGAATCAGTGCGGCGTGGGTGAGCGCTCAGTAGCGTCTGCCCTGTGGGGCGGAGCTGTGGTGGGTGTGATTCCCACATCGCCTGCCAAATCGGCATGTGGATCTTACCCAGACCGGCATCCAGACCGGCCAAACCAGATGTCAGGTCCCCTGCCAGGAAGCCAGCAGCGAGCATTAAACATGGTGACGACGGGGTGTGGGGTTGGGGTGGTGGCAGCTTCGAGAGCTGGCATGGGTTCATCGGTTAGCATCTCGCCCTCTGGAGCCATGGGGCGAGGCAAGTCCTCCTGTGCCTGCCTGCCTGCCTTGGCACCGATGCTCGGGGCCCTTTGTCTGCCTGGCTGATGTGGAAGCCTCGGAGCAGGGCCGGATGCTGGACTGCTCCCTTAGCACCACGTGGGTCTAGCCCACGGTTCTCTGTAGCCAAAATCGCTTGCAAGCATGCCCTCAACCTACCGTGCCCCTTCAAAATTAAAGTCATACTTTTCAGCAATCAATACAGTGCCCTCAATCTATCAGTGTCTCGCTTGGCAGGGTTGGTGTTTTTGTAGTGATGAATGGCTGTTTTGTCACAGTGCACGCTCACTTATTTGAATAACTGCCGTCTAATTATTTTCTGCTGTTCTTTGAGGTCGGTTTGGTGGCAGCATATTAGTCGAAGCACTGTTTCCAATAACCTTCATGCCATGACTGCCCACCTCAGAGACTAGTCAGACTACCCGGGAGACGCCAGCGTCTGAGCTCCTCAGAGAGCCCGGCTGAGGTTTCCTTCAGTATAAGATAACTCAATATAGAGCACCATGCTGGGAGCACCTGTCAGACCACCCAAGCGGCAGACCCTTTGTTGTATCCATTACCGGGGGGGGCTGGCTAGCCATGGGACAAATTGGGATGGGAGCAAGTTCAACACGCACGCACGCACGCACGCACGCACATAATGTCTCTCTCATCAGAAGCGAAACACTTAAGTCCACTGTTCGCTGAACCTACTGCCCTTAGAGGCTCTTTTAAGTGTCTTGGTACCAGAAGACACTTCCTACTGGTGGATGCACACAACATATAGAGACAGAGTGCAGGTACCCACGGCCCCATCTCAAAGCTCTGGGGGCTTAGCGCAGCAATGCTGCGTGTCCTTTAAAGGGAAGAGACTTGGTGGCCAGTGTGGCCAAGCCCAGGAGTTAGCTGTCCATAAAGCACTCACTCTGAAAACACAGCACCAGCACTGGGCCAGCAAGCCCGAGGGTGGAGCAGAGCTCCGGGAGAGCCGGTGCCCCTGCTGTGTTCGTGCCGACGGGGTGTCCCGAGAGAGCGGGACTGCAGATGGTGGCTCTCAGACCTGAGTGGGCCTCGGGAGGACTTGTCAGAGCAGGTCTGAATTCCTCCCGGACTCTCCCGGAGCATCCTGGTATCACACCCTGGTCTGGGACCACTCTGGGTGGTTAGTGTGGCCTGATAGCCTTTCAGAGTAAGATTTCAGCATCTCCGTCCAGAGGTAGTTTAAGGTCTAAGACACAGGTTCCCTAGCTTATTTAGCCTACTATCACCTCCTTTTCAGAAAAAAGAAAAATTATTCCGAGCCACCCCACCACTAGGTAATTAAAAACATTTGTACTGTAGCCCCTAATCCAGGATAAAGTGTGGGCATCTGCTTTTGCAGGTCTCCTGGAATGTTCCAGCACCCCCCACACACACCCCCAGAGGCCAGTGTTGCCCACTTTGGGAAATAACTGGTCTGAAAATGCTAGTTAGCCTCCTAAAAGTAAAACATTTAAGGAGAAAAGGCTTTGGTGGGTGGGTGGGTGGTTGTCTTTAAGCACACACAAAGTTTGAATTTCTTAAAACTTAGCTGATGCGGCAGTGCTCGCCCTTTCCTCTGCTCTCGAAGGTGGCGCTGCTGTAAGCAGCTCTCACAATGGCAGGATGGTGGGGGCAGGTCCTGGTCAGAGCGTGCCCGAGCTGTGTCCCCAGATGACCCTCCCGTCTGCGGTCAGAGCAATGCAGTCGCCTCGGCTCAGCTTCCATCCCCAGGACACATGGGGAGCGGGGCCAGCACTGCAGGCTGTTTCCTGATAAATGCTCACTGAATTGAAAGTTTTCCAGATGCCAAACAAAGGCAGCACTATCTGGTCTTTTCCTCTTGATCCGTGCTGTGTAAACTCAGAGCCCTGTCTTCTAAACACTTCCTAGAAGGGACTAACATGGCTTCGGAATCAGTGTTTCACGGCCTCTTCTCCTCCCTTAAGATCCCTTTTCCCGATGAGCCTGACCTAACAGGGCGAACCGGGAACCCAGGGAAACCTTAAGTTCTTTTTTCCCATTATAAAAACAGGTCTATAAACTAAACTGAAAAAACAACCCCAACGCCCGGGAAGGGAGTCCTGGAGACTCTGGTGGACTGTTAGCCAAAAGGTCCCCAGTTCAAAACCACGCAGCCACTCCTCAAGAGAGCTGTATCTGACCCCCTTCACTGCAGTGGCCGCACCGAACACGGTCCACCTGTACTCACAGTGGGGAGGGTGTCAGGGCGTCATTACAGTCAATCAGAAAATGTTGAGACAGTCCCATCCACGGCGGCAGCCCCCTGGCCCCCGCCTCTGTGGTGCTCTCCTTCATCTGGGGGCTGCGCCTGCTCTGGTCTCAGGGTGCCATGAGTCTGCTGCCTCCCCTGCAGGCAGGGGTCTCAACACGCTTCCTCTTCCCGAGGGTCCCAGGAATTCACTCTGGTCCTGCTTCAGAGCCCACTCGGTCCTGAGCGAGGCCTGTCTCCGTGCTTCACGCAGTCATGTGGCGGAAGTCGCAGAGACCTGGTGAGGGAACCCTTTTGGAGATCTCTGTTCACCACCTGGTTGGAGTTGACAATGGCAGGGGCAGTTC